GGCTTTCTTGAACTTTCTCTCAGGCCCACATCTGAGAGGGGAAGAGTAAACCCAAGGAAAACAGAGCCCTGGAGGGGAGTTTGTCTCTCACTAGGGCCAGAGCCTATTTGGCCTGAGCTCACACTTCGGGGGTCCCAGGGCAGAGGGCGACTTCCCAAGCAGACGTTTGATAGTGCAGTGTCTCCACTCCAGGGTGCTGTGGCCTAATTAGGTACTAGATCCACGTCATCTCAATGCCAGGGCCACCAAGATGCCTTGTGCTGGATGCTTTTCATTTGCCCCGTCAGATCCAATCTCCACTTGTCTACACAGCGTCTGCCAAGGAAGCTGACCGGTGTGAGCTATGTCAGCAGGTTCTCTCGCCCCCCAGACCACCAGCTGGGCTCAGCCTCTCACCCAGCGGCCACTGCCCCTGCCAGGTAGTCCTCCCCAGGGAGCCTCCCTGTCCTCGGATTCTGAAGGTCTCTCCCTCTCCTTGACCCTCCAGGGACAGCAATGATGCCCTGCTGTGTCTAACGCCAGCTACTGCACCAGCCCTTGTGCCTTCCTGGGACCATCTACACCTTTGTAAGTCATCTCTTTTCAAAACTCTCCTCAAAGTACCCAATTTGAGTGTTTTATCTCTTTTCTGGAAAGACCTTGACTAAATACCCTGCCCCTATGAGGATGATCAGATTTAGCAAAATAAAAATACAGGATGCCCAGTTAAAATTGAATTGCAGATAAACGACAAACATTTTTTTTTTTAATATAAACAGGTCCCAGTAGTCACTGATTATCTGAAACTCAAATTTAACTGGGCATCCTGTATTTTATCTGGCAACCCTAGGCTCACCATCAACTCTGAAAATATTTTGGGAATCTTGGTGAACTTCAGCTGATCCCTGAAATACATAAGGTTAAGAACAGCCACAGAATATTAGTCCCCATGATGGTTCTAATTTGCAGAACTGTTCTCTCAACTGTACAACTCTCCCTTTCTTTCTGTGTGTGTGTGTGTGTGTGTGTGTGTGTACATGTGTGAATATATGAAGAGAAAAAGGAAGGATGTGAGGGAACATGACAGCAAGAGGAAATAAGGAGAGACAACCTAGAAAGGAAGGTTGGTGCTGGCTCATCAAGAATCTTGACTCCAGGGAGGAGAAGGAGCTTCTTCACTCTGTATGATGTTCCCAAACTCTTGGGTACCAGTAAGAGCTCTGCTCCCCTCCGAGTCATGCATACTACCTTCCATCTTTCATGGTTAATTCTGATGAATTTGGCTATCCAAGGTTGTTTTGTCTTAAAAAAAATCTCCTGAGATTTATATCAAAGGATAAAATTGGACTCTGGGAATTGGGCTATTTCTACTAACTGTAAACCACATTTGGATATTATTAATATTTCATGTTATATTTGGAGAACATATTCTTGATAATAAGATGAGCTAAAAAGACTCAATTTAATTCTCCTTTTCTTACTTTTTTCTTGCAAAGACAAAAATGAAAGAGAGGAAGGGAGAGAGGGAGGGAGGGAAGGAGGAAAGAGGCAAAGAAGGAAGGAAGAAGAATTAGAAAGCGTGTATAACGAATTTGGGTAACTCACATACGTATGCTGGAAAAAATTGAAAAGTTTTAGCTGTTGTAATCTGTATTGAAAAAAATCGAAACATATAATCATCAGAATAAGTTATTATTTTTTGCAGCCTCCAGCTATTATAATTTCACTGGATACTTTATAAGCAGTTGTTGTTCTGGGAGATATTCCAAGCCACCCTCCAAGATTTCACAAAGAAAAATTTGCTACAAGTCTAGAGAGTGTTTGATGAAGTACTACCGTGACTATCTTTTCAGTCTTTGACCCACAGGCCCCTGCGTGGGTCTGTGAAAAAAGGGAGAGTGGGCTGTCACGTGGGCAAGGAGGATAAGCAGCCCTTTGTGCCTTCTGAGTTGGATTTGAAAAGAAATAGCTTAATTTTCCCGCCTTCCATGGTTCTCAAACCGACTTCAGAGATAGTTTTGGGCAGTGTGTTCAGGCAACGACTTCTGGTTTCGGTGACTGGGCAAACGCCACACTCTGCCCCTCCTAAGCCATACCCTAGAAATGATAGAAAATGTTAAAATAATTTGTTACATATCTACATAAACACATTCAAAACTAAGAGGAGGGGGTTGCAATGGACAAAAAGCTCTGAGAAACTCGTGGACAATAGAAAGCAGAGTTGCAAAGGAAGACAGGAAAGAGGAGCACGCAAGACAGTAGCCCCAGGAAGAGCAGGTAGCAATGAGGTGGAATCCAAGATCACGTGAGCCCTGGGCCCCAATAGCACTCTTAGCAGGGTACTGCAATGGCGCCAGTGCATGGTGTGCCCGGGCTCTCCTCACCACCAGCCAGACCTAAGGGACCCCGTCAGAAATGTGAGTGCTGGAGCTCCAGGCAGATGGTCAGAGCCCCAGGCCTTTCTGGGACTGGCCACAGCACCCTGACAGTTCGTGAGATTTGTGATTACCTGGCCCCACCACAAACCACCCTAGAAATGTCCCCAGAGGTCCCCTTAATCTGTGCATAGACACCAGTTTGCCTTTGTCTGAGAAGTCCAACTCCTTGAATCGTTATGTATCAAAGTTCCTCCTGTGTGCCTCCTGGCTTTATGCAATCTATAACACTTCAGGGTCATTCCTTAAAACGTTAGCCAAAACCGTGCAAAAGGCAGAGCACACTGGTGACTACCAGAAACATTTCTCCAGGTTCATGAGTCGTCTTCGAGCACTGGTTGGAGCATCTGTAAATCATTTCCCTTGCAAACATTTTTGTTTAGCCAATTTACTAGCTGTGTGAGCTGCACCATCATTTAGTCACGCTGAGCCTCAGTTTCTTCTTCCTACCTCATAGCATTGGTGTGAGGATCAAATAGGATAATATGCTTTGCACAGTGATTGGAATATAAGAGTTCAATGAATGTTCAGTTATTATTATTATTTTAAGCATTTGGGGTAGTCAATGGTTTTCCTGGGATTTAGTCTTCCTGAACACCTCCAAACTCATGTCTTATTTTCTCATACTCCTCGGCTGTACGCCCTCCGGCTATCTTTTCCTTATATCCTGCAAAGGAGAATATATATGAGAACCTCGTGTACGGGCACCTGTCTCTCTGGAGGTGCCTTATTCTTGAATTGTAATAATTTTATTTTTACAGTCTCCATTTTTTTTCTCATGTCATGTCACCATTGAGATCTTCTAGCCACAGGATTAGACTCCTTTTTGTAGATGTTTCGGAAATCTGTTTTCTGATGTCTAGCAACCATTTTTTCTTACCATCCTCAGTGTTTTGCTTATGAATCCCAAGTATAAAACGATCACATTATACAAAGCTTTTATCGCTTCCATTCTGCCACCTAGCTTTTCTTTGGTGGTCACAATCAATTCCAGAATAACTTTTCTCCCCTCGCGGCTCCCCCTTGCCTGGCTGGGAGTTGAAGTGGTCAGAGGGCACTGCAGGAATGTTCTCTGTTCCCAGCAGAGTGGGGCTCACTGCAGCAGGCTGGAGAACTGACACTCCAGTCCACCCCCAGCACCAAAACCCCTCACAAAACATAGATTGTTCTTCCCACCTCTTAGTCTCACCAGAGTGATCTCCACCGTGCCTCTCCACTTGGATCTGTGAGTTTCTGGGTCACCTTCTTCTACAGTGTGACCCTGTGTGCCATCCTTCTGTACACAGCACCCTTCCAGCTGTATTTCAGATCACTTATTTATCAGACCTGGATGTATTGTCAAACCTGAATGTTCCCTCTTTATGTTAAAATGTTAGGTCGCCTTGATTTTCCCTGAGCGTTAGTGCTCTTCCTTTGGTCAAGACCCAGTCTAGCTTCCTCTTTATCAGGTAAGCAAGTCCTCATGGAGCACCTTTCCCCTTTTCTTCACGAAATGCCTTCCATCCCTAGCCAGGAACTCCCCACTCTGCCCTCAAAGGCCACAGTCCAGGGAAGAAAGGCCGTCCCCTTGCTGAAGTCAGCTGTCCACAGCCCACACCCTCCAGGTATTCCTTGGGTGTGACCAGTGAAAGAAGTGGAAGTGGTAGTCTCCAATCCTTCAGTCCTTTAGCCGGGCTTTTGGACCCCAAGGTATATGCCAATTAACCCCGAAAGGATCCACGTGCCTCTGCAGAATGGGGAGCAGCCTGTCTTTTTCCATCAGACCCCCCAGGAAATCAGCCCCAGAAGACCCTAACAGGCTCACCACGTTGCCTGGATGCTTGGCATTCCCCTACACACCAATTCGTCCTACTGTGAGCACCTGCCACTCTCAGCCTGAGGATGTGGATCAGTCCACGTGGGAACAAGCTAGAAGTGGTGGGGCCCTCAAGAGCAACCATCAACCAACAGCAGAGAAAACCCCTGCTTCCTGCCTCCCTTGTGGGCCAACTGCGAGCCCGCTCCACACTGTTTTCCAAAGGTCCCCAGCCAGACTCACCCCAGTGACCCATCGTGGCAACTTGCTCAGAAAGAACTTTCCTTGCCTCCCTGTCTTCCTCAGTTCTTTACGATACCATTCCCAAATAAACTACATGCACTCACATCAGTTTCAGGATCTCCTTCCGATGAACCCAGATAAAGACGGGCGCCTGCGTGGGGCATCTGTTCTCGTCAGCCTTGTTACATACCAAGCAAGTTTGCACCACAACTGTACACTGTATTTGTTTCTCATTGTGCTGTAACAAATTGCCATAAACTTACTGGCTTAAAAAAACACAAATGCATTGTTCTGTAAGTCGGAGGTCTCACCGGGCTAAGCTCAAGGGGTTGGCAGGGCTGTTTTTTTCTGGAGGCCTCAGGAAAGAATCCATCTCTTTGCCTTTTCCAGCTTTTAAATGCCACCTGGATTCCTTGGCTGTGGTCCCTTCCTCCGTCTTCAAAGCCAGCAGCATGGCATATTCAAACCAATCAGCATCTCTCTCTCTCCTCTCTCTCTCGCTCTCTCTCTCTCTCTCTCTTTCTGACACCCTTGCCTCCTTTCTGTAAGGAGTCTTGTGATTACATTGGACACATCCAGGTAATCATTTTCTCATCTACAGATTCCTGACTTAATCTGCAAAGTCTCCTTTGCCATAGAAGGTAACAGATTTGCAGATTTGGGGGATTAGGATGTGGATGTCGGGTGGGGGTGGGGGGTTGTTATTTTGCCTACCACAGATATTCAGAGGCCCAAATTACAGCTGTGAATAAGGAACTGTTACCACCGTTTACCCTGCAGGGTCTATGTGGACTACGGATGAGCGCCCCAGACTCCGGTCTCTCCCAAATCCCCCTCCACAAGCAGCAGGTGGACATTGTATTCCAGCTTGCCCAGAATAAGGCAGGCTAGCCTGCTGAGAGCATGCTGATTTCTCTAGCCTTCTCAGGGTCGATTTTCCCACCTATAAAACAGAAATAATTTCATCTATTTTGCAAGGTTGTTAAACGGTTTAAATGAGATAATGTACCGTGTTTCCCCGAAAATAAGATCTTCCCATAAAATAAGCCCTAGCAGGATTTCTAAACATTTGCGCAATAGAAGCCCTACCCTGAAAATAAGACCTAGAGATGGGTGTGGCTGTGCAGCTATCTGCACAACCCATGCATTTCGTCACGGAGCAGTAAAAAAGATGATCAGCCCTTCTCATCTTCCCCATGAGAGATCTATTGCTCGACATGAGAGATTGGGGGCAATAGTTCTAAAGGAAATAGAGTCACAAGAAATTCAGGATGGAATTCGGGGTTTGGAGAGTTATGATGATGTTCCAGAAGAAGACAACATAACTGTATTTGAATAAATGTAGATTGTTCTACCGTACTTAAAAAAAAATAACACATCCCCTGAAAATAAGCCCTAGGGTGTCTTCTTGAGGAGATGACCCTGTCTTATTTTCGGGGAAACACGGTAGTTAAAATTGCTTGTTAAGTTATTTTTGTCTCTTGAGGCTATATGTTTATTTTAACTAAGTCTACACTTATTATGTAATGGTGAGAAAAAAAATTAAGCATCTACTTGAGGCCCAGGAAATTTGCCTTTGCCTCAGTTGGTTGTCTTAGGCTTTAGGGATACCAAGATCACCCGTCTAATGACTGCATTTTCTGTTGTGCAGCTGCCTTTCCAGAGGATTCTAAAACAATTCCCTCTTCCTGGTGGGGTAACCTCCTGTCTCTCCTTCCAGGGGGAATTAACTCTATTGTCTGAATAAGGAACTTAGGGCAATGGGGACTAGTGTGCAGCTAGTCATATGGCAAGGAAGAGAGATTCAATCAGGGTCTTTAAGCACACGAGGGGATGTTATCCAGAAGATTAAAAAGATTGCTCCCCCTCAGAGTCTTAGGGTCTTCTCCAGTGACTGTCTGGCAGAGGACACAGATTTTGCCCCTCCGCCTGGCCCAGGGCACAGAACTGGGACTAACAGGTGGAAACTCTGGGAAGGCGAGTTTCAGATCAGTCCAAGGAAGGATTTTCCAGCATCTAGAGCTGTTTTGTAACAAAGAGCTTCCTTTGGAAAGTAGAGCTCAGCCATGCACGTTGCTAGAACTGTTGGCTCTGCGATGGTTTGAACATCCAAGCTTTGTCTGCCCACTCACAACTTTTTCTAGGGGGTGCTGTCCTACCCAGCCCTCCCACGTTTCGGTTCTTATTTTAAGCCACTAAGTTTTGGGGTTGTTTGAAATGCACCGAAATCCAAGTGATAGGATTAACATATTGCAGCCCCGTTTACTTCTCAGGTCACACCAATCCTGTCCTGCTCAGGACTATAGACATTTTAACTTGATACTATCATTTCTGAGCACAGCGCCTGTCCTTCAAGTTTTGAACTTACATCGAATTATACCTGTTCTTTTTTGGCATTGGGAACACCTGTGTGCTTTCCCATCCTTTCTCTCTCACCCTTGGCATGATCTGGCCTCCTTCTCTGTGCAGCCTGGACCTGATGCTGGTTGCTAGTGACACTCTTTTGACAGCATCCTCAATATGCTTCAGACCTACCTGCCTATTCCACCAGCTTCTGTCTTAGGTCACCCAACCTTCCACGCTCTCTGCCCCTTTGTGGCACATGATCATGCTGATTGGAGTCATAATAACAATGATTTCTAATGTCAAAGCCATTAGTACTTTTATGCTTTTTTTTTCTTTTCTTTTCTTTTTTCTTTTTTTTTTTTTGAGACAGAGTCTCATTCTGTTGCCCTGCTAGACTGCGTGGCTTCACCTAGTTCACAGCAACGCAATCTCAACTCCTGGGCTCAGCGATCTTCTGCCTCAGCCTCTGAGTAGCTGGGACTACGGGCATGTTCACCATGCCCAGCTAATTTTCTATATACATGTTTTTGGCCATTAATTTTCTTTCATTTTAATAAGACAGGGTCTTGCTCTTGTTCAGGCTGGTTTTGAACTCCTAACCTTAAGTGATACGCCCACCTTGGCCTCCCAGAGTGCTAGGATTACAGGCGTGATGAGCCACCGCGCCCGGCTTATGCTTTTTTTCTGATCCTCCAGCAATAGTGTTCCTCTCTCAGCAGAAAAGTATATGTGGTTTTTTTTTAATATATATATATAGCAATCTTGAAGCTATCTGACTTTAACTTCCTCAACTTTCTTCACTCATGCCTAGGAACTGACCTTATCTCTAACAACCTGAAGACTGTGAGGAACAGGTGTTCCTTCTGCTGCGCACAGATAATCCCTACACTTAGGCTCTTGTAAAAATATAACTTTAATTGTTCTTTTTCCTGATTATAAAAGAAACCCACGTGCTTGTAACAGTAACCCTGCTCCTCAAAACAGCATGTCAAAACACACAGTAAGGAGCCCTGATGTTTTAGGAATAGCATGGAATCCATTCTCATTTGGACCAAAAAAGTAAATTGTGTACAAACTTGAAGATTTTAATTATTATCCATGATACGTTATTTGTGACACTTCACGAATGACTGTGACGCCTGAGTTCATCTGGAGGATCAGTTCTTCACGTGCACCTTGTTTTTTCACAGCAGCCCACAGGAGGATCTGCTAGTTGCGGAATGGCGGCCACACTCTCTCACACTCTGCTGCTGGGATGTGGTTTTGGAAACTCCCAAACCCTCCTTCTATTTTGGGATTCTACTTTTAACAACTTATTCCAAGGAAATCGGCAGGTGTACACAGATATACATATAAGTACACTCTCCATAGGCTCATTCATACAGGTGAAATACTGGAAACAACTTTAACGCCCATCGGTAGAGTCTTGAATAGCAACACCAACAACCTTAATGACCGATAACTTTTGAGGTCCAACTACTTCCCATTGATAGGAACTATTTTAGAACCAAAAAGTTTAAAGTAAAAGAATATATGACTACTATTTATTTACAAAAAGATTATATTTATATGGAAAAGGCAAACTCACCATTTCCAAAACAAAGTTACCTCTGAGCTTGCCATTCTTCATTTGGTTTCAGGGTGGCCTTAATGAATAGGGGGCTAGTGGCAAGTCACATGCAGAGAGTGGAATTTCCAGCCTTCGGTTTTAATTAATTCTGACCTATTGTCTATATAATGACTTCTACTGTGCAGAACCAAGGTAACGGTAGAGCGGAGAGAAAGCCAATTGTGCTGAATAAGAACATTTGCTAAGGAATAGTGATCACTGAGGGCGAATGATGCAAAAAAAAAAGAAGAAGAAGAAGAAAAAGAAAACTTTTGAGCAGCTCCTACATGCCAATCCCTGTGCCCTGACCCCTTTACAAACTTATTTAATTCTCACAAACATTCTTTAAAGGAGGGACAATTATTATCTCCATTTTGCAGGTGAGAACATTGAGGAACAGAAGGGATAAGTCAATGGGGCTAGCGCTGGTAAGGACTTGAACAACCTAGCTCCAGAGCCCCTGTTCTTGGGTAAGTGCAATAAATATTATGCAGTCATTTAACAAGGCATGAGAAGATGAAATAAGCACTAGATACTAAGCAGTACATACATTATGATTCCAATTTATTTAAGTCTATATGTACTTACACAAGTATATTCATGCAGGGGGCATGTATGTGTGTTTGAAGCATGTGTATATGCACACAGAGAATGGTTAAGCACAAAGAATGGAAGGATCTATGGACAGAATATTTTAAAGTGGCTATTTCCATGCACATGCAGAAAGCAGTCATAATTCCCAAGGACTTGTTTGCTGGGCTTCCCACAATATTCCTGCTGGGCTAGGGTACACATTTCCAGAGGCTAAGGTACATTTCCAGAGGCTAGAGTACATTTCCAACTGCCTGACACCCAGGAACCCACATCTCATTGCAGGGTCAGAAAAGGTTGTCATAGCCAACACCAGCCAAGGTAGAAGCCAAACACTATGGACCAAAAGAAAGAAATGAGAAACCAAAGGTGGTGGCAGAATTCTAAGGTGTCCCCACAAATTCTCACCCCCAGGGTATATGCCCTGTCTTAATAAGATGGGGTATCATTCCTGTGACTAGGTTGTGTTAAATGACACAGTGGGATTTCAGAAAGGAAGATTATTCTAGTGGGTCTGACCTAATCTCATGAGCCCTTAAAATCTGGGTTTATACAGATAAAGACCCAAGGCTAAAAAAAAAAAAAAAAAAAAAATCTGGGTTTAGAGATCAGAAAGAGGGGAAGTAAGAGACTTGGTGTGTAAGAAGGAATCAGTGCAAGGAAGATTCTCCATTGCTGACTTGAAGACAGGGACCGTGTGGCACACAGTGGCAGCTGGCCCACAGGAGCAGAGAGCAAATTCTGGTCGTCAGCTAGCGAGAAGATGGAAGCCTCAGTCCTGCAACAGCCAGGAACTGGATTCCGCCAACAACATGAGTGAGCCTGGATTTTCCTCCCAGAACCTCTAGGTAAGAAGAACACCTTTAATGTGAGGCCCTGAACAGAAAAGCCAGTCCAAGATGTGCTGGGATTTCTGACCTGCAGAACCATGAGGGAACAAATGGACATTGTTTTAAGCTGCTCAATTTGTGGTGATTTTTTATAGAGCATAGTGAACTAGTTATATCAACCCACAGAGCAAGTCCAGAACCATCAGTGGGTGCCAGCTCTTGCCATGGTGCTCAGTGACTCTCAGTGACTCTCAGTGAGCAGCCACTGCCACCATGGGGACACCAGGGTAAGAGGGAAGGCCCTGGGTATGAGGCAAGGTAGGGGAATTAAAGTGAAAAGGAAAGGGAGGCAAAGCAGGGTTGCATCGACTGAGCAAGGAGAGGGACAGAACCCAAAGTTGTCATTGGGACTCTTGGCAGGAAAGGGGGCTTCTTCCTTAAGAGCAGGCAAAATGCTTGAGATCATTATCTGAAGGAAGAGAAGTGACTACCGTGGGTTTTATGAGAACATATATGCATTGGAGCTGAAATTTTTTAGATGAGTATCTCAATAGGAAGGTGGTGTTAATAGCTAACATGAGGGAGAGAGAGAGAGAAAGAAGAGGAGGAAGATGAAAGCAGGGAGCTAAAAGGAAAACAATAAAGAAAGTGTCCCCAGTAGAAATGCCTGTACCATAGTCTTTAAGCCATTTCCATTAATGTGTGTGTTTGGGAAGCAATTCAAAATAACACAAATACATTCTTTTTTTTCCTAACCCAATTGTCACTGTGCAAATTTTTATCAGTGCATACTAAATTAAAACCTTCCTTAACACCGAAAAAACCCCACATATTTCTACTTTAAGTTAATTAACTTTGTAGAGCAGAAGTTATGTTATTCTTTAACAGTCTTGATAGATCCGCCATGACAGTGGCTTAACACGTTTTCCTTTTATTATAATGGAAGATCCCAAAGACATAAAAGAAACAGGTATAAAAAAGGTGGTGTCCCCAGAATCTCCAAAACACAAACCTTTCCCAATATTAAGCAACAAAACATCACTTAGGTCGGGACCTTTAGAAGCGAAGCCTGAGACAGGAATTCAAAGGTCTCCAGGAAAAGGAGCAGGATGGAGTGAGAAAGGAGCTAAGCTAGGATGTGGTCTCAGCCTGGCACTAGCCTCAGGCTGATTCCAGAGGTGTGCCCTGAAGGATTAATTGCAGTATAAAGTTGGTCCAACCTTAAACCCCAGAGCTGGCCTTTTGTATCCCTATATAAATTAGTCAGGGGCTGCCTTTTGTGGGTGAGATGCATAACCTCAGGTTTAGCCAAGGGCAATTCTCTGGAGAAGAGAAAAGCCCTCAGCAGCCAAGTTCACAGCAGCTGGGGACAGTGCACCAACAGGGAAGGGAATCTGGGTGGGGCCTCCTTCCAACTGGGAGTAGAGTTTGAATCTTTTTCCCAGGGCACCAGCCTCAAGGTAAATCAGAAGCAATTAGGAACACCCAATTCCATATGCCAGAAGCATGCAGATGTCCAAGCCTGCCAGGACACTCTGTGCACCTGCATTAGACCTGGCATTTGATCCCCCAACCCCTTTCCTAAGGGTCACAGTCATCACAGTTCTGGCCCTGATTTTTCTGCATTCCTGTTGAGGCCCAGTCCTTGTAAAGTTTTTGGAGGCAGTGAAAAGAAAAGACAGACAGAGAGAGAGAGAGTGGGGCCAAACATTGTGGCTTTATTGAGTGCTCCCGGGCGAGGTTCATGGGTCCCAAGAGAGGGGGCCTGAGAAGTCGCATCCATTTGGAGGGGGTTAGGGCTTTTATACTGTTTGAGGCAGGCCGGGGACTTTTGGTGGGAAGAGCTGGGGGTTTTCCACTGTGACCTTCGGTGGTTATTGAGAAATAGGAGGGGTTGGCGCTATTTGCAGAATCCAGGAACCGAAAACTTTCTTATCTGGGTGGACATCCAGGTGTTATTGTTTTCAGTGGGGCCTGGCAGTTGTCTTTGGAGGGTCTGGTTTTGTGAGCCTTTTCTTTTTGATCTAGGGAGGGGAAGCGGGCCCTGCCACCAGCCTACAGTCCTCTCCCCACCTTAACCCTGGCTTAGGGTCTCTGGCCACCAGCCTGCTCCAATGTAGGCACTGTGTCCTGGTGAGTCCTCATCCCTGCTGGGATCTGGGAGACTGCAGGAGTCTTTAGACTTAGGAAAGAAATCAGAACCTTAGAGCCTGAGGGACCTTCAGAGACTCATGTAGTACAACTTGTTGTTTGTAGTGGGGAAGGACCTCGCCACATGGCTGGTTCAGTCTGTTGCCATAGAGCCCAAGAATTTTGTAAGCACCAACTGGCTCAGATGTCCACTCCTAGTCCAAGTACATGTGGTCAGGGTTTTAAGGGACTGTGAATAGAGCAGGCAATGAACACATCCCCATCTGAATCAAAGGCAGCCTATCCATTCTTGGCCCTTCTGGCCAAGAGCTAATCAAATTTTCTTCCTCAAACATGTGAGCTGAGATGTACAGAGATAAGGTTAGCAAGGATGGGTATTCCCAGCACTCCAAAAAAAAGATCATGGCATAGAGAGAGACCAGTGGCGGTCACGTTGGATTTCAGCAATATTTACAAGTTGGGTATATTTATGGCTTAAGGGGTACTCATATAAGGACATTTATAATTATGAAGGCAACTGTGAAAAATGTATACAAGTGTCTGTTTGCTATTACTGATCTGGGCAGCAGAAAACCTGGTTCCTAGTCCCCCATACTGACATTTTGGTAAGGTCTTTTAAATACCAGGCTACTTCCACATGACAATTAAGCAGTTTCTCAATTTCAAAAAAATCTAGCCTGCCTGTGAATTGAGTGAGGAATGGTGGAATTTGTCTAAGGAACTCAACGGTTTAATGCATTTTGCCATGGAGATTATAGCTGCTGCAGCGTGGGGACAGGGCTGGCCTGAAAGAAGACAGGCACTCCTTGAGCATTCTGTTCAGGCAGCCACCCATTATCCAGGGGGTGGATGATCCAGTTTGGGGATTTTTCATGCCTCTGGCTTCTCCTCCCTCCCACTGTCTGCCCTTTGGCCACATTACAGATCAAATTAGCATGTCTTTGAGAGGATTGAAGGGGAAGGGACAGGTAGAATTCAAATTGGTCAATTTTGTAGCTTGTTCACTGCTCTAATACACGAGATCAAAACCAAAGGCTAACGTGGGGTTTGGGATTATCAGTGGATTATATTCAATCTATACCAGACCTCCCCTCCATTACTAGAGAAATTGGAGTCTGATTTGGACTCACTGCATTTCACATGGGTGCCTGAGCTCAGCACACGGAGGCTCGTCCAGAATCTCAAACACATATATGTTAGAAGTTTGGAGCTGGAAGGGGCCGTAGAGATGATCCAGCCTTGGAAAATTAAGGCTCAGAAATCTGAAGCCCACGAGATGGTTGCCAGTAGCAAGTGAACCACTTGAAAGAGGATCTGAAACCAGTTAACTTTAAAATCATGTAACTGTGGCAGGTTGATATGAGAAATATTAATTAAGTGCACCCCTTCTCGATCTTCTGTGGCTTCTTGCTGGGATCCCCCAACTGGAAACCAAAATCAAGATCATCTATGGCTGCAAAGATGCCCCAGCACTGAGAGCAAATGATCCCTGACCCTAAAGCTGCTAAAGAACACAGTTCAGAGTGCGGGACTGGACAGACTCCATGCAAAAAGATGGCAGGAGACAAAACCAGGTTTTCCCTCTGCCTGACTTGAAAAGAGCAGAGTTCAATGTCAAAAATGAGAGGTCAAAAACAAAAAAAAAAAAAAAAAAAAAGAGAGAGAGAGAAGCCATATATTCCATGGTATACACACAGAGGTTGTCATCATCATCATTGTCATCATCATCATCACCATTATAAGGGAGGGACGCAAGGAAATAGGGAGAGGATTTTTTTTCATGCCTCATGGGATTTGGGGAGAGCCGAAAAAGAAGAAAAAGGCCTTTTGCTTCTCCTCTGGAGGTTTCTGATGGTGGCGGTCTCACCAAAGTCCCCAGTGGAGCCTGCAGATGTCAGGGCGCTGCTGCGGGAGGGACAGGAGGCAGGTAGCAGTCGTTCCCCAGCCGCAGAGTGGTGGGCAGCTGACTCTGCGGACCCGCAGCCATCAGTGGAAGAGTCAGCAGTTGCGGGGGAGGCGAGCGTAACTCAAGGAGGTACACGTCCAAAAAGGGCGCAGTTAACATGGGGGTGGGGGAAGGAGGCATGGCTGATCTGATTCTAACTGAGCTCTTTGGAAGACAAGATCACCCACTGGCCCACCCAGGGAATGACATGAGCAATGTGTCACAGCAGGGCTGCGGTGTCCAGCCCACCTGCCTGGGAGAGCTGGCACCACCCTGGCCCCAAGGCAGAGAGGAGCCAGCCTCTCCCTCCCGGCGCACAGCCAGCCGCCACAGCCCGCACCACTGCCCGCCTCCTGAGAGCCCACGTTAGCTCAGAACCAGGAGAAGAGGCAAGAAATCCTACAGTGTCATTTTGGGCTGGACTGTGAACAAATTACAAGTTGTGCATCCTAAGTTGACCCTAGGACTAACTGGAGCCATTACATCGATTGCAGGAAGTTTCCTGCTGCCCAGTAGAACTGGGGCTTATTCCATGGGGAGCTGTCTCTCCTCGGTCTCCTGAAAACCAAGCAAGAGAATTTGGCCTCAAACTGTAGCTGAAGAGACAGATCCCCTACCCACCCCACCCCCGGGCCTCTAAGGACAAACTGGGGGGGCGGGCGGGAGGGGTCTGGTATTCAGTACGCACCTGTTACGTCCCTGCCCGTAGTGAGCACTTCAATATCCTTAGTGCCCTCGCTCCTGAAGTGTCTCTGCAAGGGAGCGGCTGTCATCCTTG